GCTCGTAAGCCTTGTGACGCTGCTGGCGTGTCCTCCTCGGCCGCCGCCGCCATCCGCGGCGCCACCTGGCCCCAGCTCGTGTCGCCGCTGGCGTGTCATCCTTGGCCGCCGCCGCCATCCGCGGCGCCACCTGGCCCCAGCTCGTGTCGCCGCTGGCGTGCCCTCATCAGCGCTCGCCAACATCCCCCAGCGCCGCTCCGGCTGCTGATGGCGATGACCGGCCGTAAAAGCCGTCGGGTGACCCTGATGCCCGCGCCGTCTGCGGGGCGGCGGCGCGGACGTTCCGCGGGGAGTTGCCAGAGGTCACCGCCAGGACGCGCGCCCGTCTGCAGCCGCCTGGCGGAGTGGATCGATGAGCCGACCTTAAATGATGGGGCGATGCCAAAGGTCACCGGGGGGGGGGGGGGGTCAGCACGCGCCCCGAAGTGGGCCGCCTGCTGCTGCCGTGTGTGCAAAGGGGCGTGGTCGCCGTCACAGTCACGGCGAGGCAAGTTTTGGCTGCGGGTCACGCTCAGGTGGACCACGGCGCTGTGCGGTGTGAGAGTCAGCGCAGCAGCAAGGAACGCCTGGATGCTCTCGGCGTTCTGAGGTCAACTGGGTGGATATCTACACGGAGAAAAACAGTTCCTTGCGTGTGCGATACACGTTCTCCCAGGTATACGCGCAACCGTGTCGTTTCTCGTGTAGTTGCAGCGCCCTCAGTTGCCACGTCAGCGGTCGGGTTTTCAGCCTGAGCGCTGCGCAGGCGTAGGACTCTCAGCGTTCCCTTTGCTCAGCCTGCCCACTGCTCAGAATGTCAGCAGCGTTCTATGGCCGCGGTTTTGGCTGGCTCGACAACCGACGCGTCCGCTGCGTGCTGTTCGTGGTACAATTGCCACCGCGTGGGATGCATACTCGGTTAGAATCCAACAGAGTGAATTTGTGGGCTGTGCTGAACGTCTTCACAACTGTGGGAAGCATCTGTCACTGTGCTCTGCCCGCTCTAAATACGTCAGCTGTGTTGTTCACATGAGCTCACCGTCAGTCGGTGAGAACCTCTGGGCCAGCACCGATGGCATCTCACATGGCATTGCACATCCTGCGGAATGCGAGGGTAGCGGGCAGTGCTTGCGTTGTCTGTAAGCACGGTCTGCAGCGAGACGGGAGCATCAAGCCTGCTGCCTGTCTATGCTGCCCCGTACTGAGCCCTCGTTCCCAGCGGCTGTATTGTCTCCGCTTCATCGTGCTGGGCCCTCGCTTCCGGCGGCTGTGTTATCTCCGTTTCCTCGTGCTGAGATCTCGCTTCCGTTGGCTGTCTTGTCTCCTTTTCCTCGCGTTGGGCCGACGCTCCCGGCGACATCCCGTCTCCGTGTCCTCTTGCTGAGACCTCGCTCCCGGCGGCCGCCTTGTCTCCGCGTCCTCGTGCTGGGCTTCGCTCCCGGCGATTGTATTATCTTCATTTCCGGCTGATCAATGGACCGTTTGATCGATGGCCTCGTCTTCGCCGCGTGCTGGTGTTGACCGCGGTCACGGCACAGGTCCTCTCCTCACGCTCCACTGGCCAGCCTCCAACCGGGGCAAGGCCAGTGTACCCGTCACCAGCCCAAACATGCCATTGCACAAGCATGCTTATGAAGTATTTATTGTAACCTTTTTATTGCATTGAACTATTTCGGCCATTGAACTAAACTGCAAATCACCTCATCACGTGTAAACTTTTAAACGTTTAAACCACCCCATCGGAGCGGCTTTTGTCCGTACCCGTGTTGTGAGTGACGTATAGATACGTGCCATACACGGCAGAGGGGTGCGCGGACGCTTCCGCATGACAAGCCTGCGGTCTTCCCGTAGAGCCATCCTGTCCGCGCGCGCAATGTCAGCATCCCCCCGCATCACTCGGCGTACAGCGGGCCTATCACGATCCTTCGGGCCCACTCAACCGGCACTGGTGAGCGTGCTTGAAGTGTGGCGTGTGGGCACTAGTGACACAGAGCGAGTCGGTGCTCTCGGGATGGATCGCCGGGCCGGATGGCCCCTTTAAAAGCAGACCATTCGCGCTAGCGTGAGGCCGCGGGCGCTGGTTGGTAAGCCGTCCCTCGAAGTGACGCCTTGTCCCCAGCCCCTGCCTTCTGCCGCTTGGAAGCCAGGCCAGCAAGAGCCCACCTTAGTCCGTCGTGAACGGCAAACCTCCCACGGACACCGGCACGCGCGTTGGAGGGCTGTGCCATTGCGGCGGTACGGTGCAGGCACGCTAAAACCGTGCGCGCTCCGAGGTCCTGCCTGCGTGACGCCCGTGCGCACTTAACACTACGCGGTAGACGCCACATTAAACAGGTCATAACATTAATCACGCCACGGCACTGAGTTCATAACGGCGTCGCACACGAGACTGCACGGCACGTAACGAACCGCGGTGTGACACACCACAACCGACGTCACGCTACGGCGTCACCCGCGTCACACCGACGCACACTCGTGACGCTGTGCCCGTCGCATCACCCGCCACAGCGCTGCACTCGCCACAACACTGGCACGTGCCACCCCGCCGTGCAGACGCCGCACAGCGTCGGCGCCGGCAGGTGGTCCGGCATCGCCACGGCGGCGGCTTGCGTCAGCCGCTTGGCCGCCGGGAAGGTCGAGACCGACCTCATTCTGGACCTGGAGGCGACGGGCTTCCTGGCAGCGCGTGCGGCGGCGCGTGACCTGCGCTAACACCAGCCCGTCTGCGGCACGCAGTGACGATCGTAAAACCAGCACTGGCCTCCATCGAGATGGTTTATGGCAGTGGGCGCTCGCGTGCGGGGTATCGGTGAACCCTACGTTGCACGTACTGACCCCACCTTCGCGAGTTTTCGGGACGTCGCGTGGAAGGGTGCGCTGGCGCCGACTCCTTCCTTGGCTTATGTGGAGCCAGGGTAATGGGGAACCCTGCCTCATGACCTAAAGGTCATTTACCATTTGCATTTTTGACGCACCATGAACATTGCACAAACGCGTACTCCGAGATCCCTTCGCACATGCTGCCTGCACTCGCGCCGTTCGTCATCTCGGGAGTTATCCGTGAGTTATCTCGGGAGTTATCCGTGAGTTATCTTGGGAGTTATCCGCGAGCTATCTCGGGAGGAGGCCTATTAATGGCAAAAGTCGTAAGGAGTTGGGGATATTCCACTATGACGTGTCTCCCGGAGCTGGGTGTTGATTATGAAGGCGACAGGTAAAACGCTGGCGTTGCGGTAATAATGCACGAATTGGTGGTGCAACTGTTCACGTCCCATGGTTTGGTAGCCCTAGCGCTACAGCCAGTTGCGTGGCAGCCAAATTGGCCCAGTAGCGAAGACTCTGTGGTGATGTTTGTTGTCACAAATATCCACAACACACAGCGCTCTCCCAGGGGAGTCATCAGCGACAATGGTGCCATGTTGTTTCCCAAAAAACAAGCAGGGAGTGTCGTTCCCAAGGAGGACAGTACAGCGCTCTGAAACGAGTTATAACGGCCACTGCCGTCGCTATAGTCGTCCCCAAAGAACATAGTGCCTAAAGGAGTATAAGAGTGTCCCAAAAGTGTCGCAAAAGTCCCAAAAGCGCCCAAAGAGTGTGACCTCCAAGGAGGGCAGTACAGCGTTCTGACACGAGTTATAACGGCCACTACCGTCACTTTAGTCGTCCCCAAAGAACATAGTGCCTAAAAGAGTGTAAGAGTGTCCCAAAAGTGTCGCAAAAGCCCCAAAAGCGCCCAAAGAGTGTCACCTCCAAGGAGGGCAGTACAGCGCTCTGACACGAGCTATAACAGCCACTACCGTCGCTATAGTCGTCCCCAAAGAACATAGTACCTAAAAGAGTGCAAGAGTGTTCCGAAAGTGTCCCGAAAGTCCCAAAAGCGTCCCAAAGAGTTCGTCCCCAAAGAGTGCAGTACGGCGCCCTACCACGAGTTATAACGGCCACTTCGGTCGCTATAGTCGACGAGCGGCTCGCACGCCGCTATCAACGTGACGAAGTAAGTCATATCGTGCGCGAGGCATGATAACGAGGGCTCCTGCGTGACAGCATGACCGCAGTACTTCCCGATCGGAGTTCCCCATCAGACCTCGTGGGTCTAGGCCATTAAGCCGTCTCATGCGGCTGTCAGTTTCATGCAACTGTGATGAGCTTCAGTTCAACCACCTGCACGGTAGGCTGATGTATGTATTTTGCAGTGATACAGTGGATTAAAAGATACGCGGGGTGTTATCGATTCCAGCCTTAAAAGACGTTGACGACTTTTGCGTTAGGATTCAAGACTGTGAACCCGTGGTTCGATAACGTGTATTGCATTTGAATTCAGTCAGGGTCATTGACATGGGCGAATATTTGTGATATATATATACATATATATATATATATATATATATATATATATATATATATGAACATTAAATAACGCTAATTGGATGAGAAACATGTCTGTGGAGAAAAAGTAATAATAACCCATGTATATGCTCATAATGCCATGGATCAGTCCAGAAAAATTGAAACCCACACTGTTACTACACAGCCTGGAACTAGAGGGGTAGAAGCAATGCAACTACCAAGGATGTTGTGATTCTGTTGAGTGGTGTGGCGCGACATGTCTGTTTCTCTTGACCCGACCTGACCTGACCTGGGGACTCCTGATTCTTCAGGGTCTGGGCCCTACTGCTTGCCGTTGGTCTGATCAGCCAGGTGACCTAACTTGACCCGACCTGACCCTACCTCACGACCCAACCTGACCTGGCCTTGAGTATCTTCCATTCGAGGCATGGTCTCTGGCGCGCAGTGGGAATCTGACCAGCCTGATGACCTTGCAAGACCTTGCCTGGGGACTTGTGCTTACGTAATCAAACCCTACCTTGTGTCTCTTTTTTCCAAGGTGTCCGACCTTATCGACAGCCGGTTCGAGCCTACCTAGGGCTTGGCCTGACCTGGTGACCCAGCGTGACCTGATGACCTATCCTGCCCTGATGGGCTGATGACCTGACCTGACCCGGTATCTCGTCCTTTCTCAGGGACGCTGGCCGTGGTCCTGCAGGGTGGCCTGACTAGCCTGATGGGCCACCTGCTGGGCAGCAGCCCGTCCCACCGCTCGACGATGCTGCTGCTCGCCTGCAATCTGCTGCTGCTGCTCATCTTCTGCTCCTCCTACGCCTCCCTCACGCGCATGGAGGAGATCCAACGGCGCATGGAGGGGCCCTACCAGCGGTCAGTGTCTAGCGGCGCATGGAGGGGCCCTGCCAGCGGTCAGTACGCAGCGGCGCATGGAGGAGCCCTGCCAGCGGTCAGTATCCAGCGGCGCGTGGAGGGGCCCTACCAGGGGTCAGCATGCAGCGGCGCGTGGAGGGGCCCTACCAGCGGTCAGTACGCAGCGGCGCGTGGAGGGGCCCTGCCAGCGGTCAGTACGCAGCGGCGCGCGGAGCGTTTGTACGTAACAGTAATGGCAGCACAAGCGACACAGAACCTGCTACTGCTCAGTACGTGCTGGTGGCACAACATCACGAGCTGTGTCATGTAGGGTCCATAGCCGCAGTTGGAGCCAGGACCTCGGGGGGGGGGGGGGGACGGCCGGTGGTCAGCCCCGTCAGCTCTACCCCCCGAATCTGCCCAGTGTCAGCAAGCAGCAGTCGTGAGCCATGGCGCCGGTGCAACAGCTCGTGATAGGCCGAGGGCGGCGCGAAGCATTGGCCATCGGTTCTCGTTATCGACAGCTGCGATGTTCGGCAAAAAGCTTCGGGCCAGGCGTTGTGGCGTGTGGCCATGACTACATCAAATCGATGCAGGCCGCTGGTGGGCAGAGGCGCCGCCTCTCTGTTTATTCGTTGCTAGGAGCGCAACACTACAGCCGGTTCGACGAAATTTTACGACCGTGTCTGTGGATAATTGATAGGAAGTTCTTTGGTGAGACAGCGTGGGCATAAATGAGGCGAGGAGACCAGGTGCAGCTGGGGGTCGATGCAGTGGTGGGCCCAGTTTATTACTGCAGCTTGTGCTGCGAGATCCGTCCGCAGGTGGCGGTTAATGGCAGTACGCTGGATAAGCGTTCATGTAGCCGAAGATGATGAAGCCAAATAATTTTTTTGTATGTGTTATATGCAAGGTGTTCTGCGCTACCACACAGTGGCTCCGCCTGGTTGAGGTAGTGAATGGCAGCTGGGCAAAGCAAAGCAAATCAATAAAAGGTTCCAGCCGAAACATTGAAAGGAAGCGTAAAACCTGTGAGACAGAATTCAAAAATGAACTCTGGTGACCAGCGGCTAGTTTTGACTAGGTGACCTCATGACCAGTTTTGTACATAAATGGCCCTGGAGTGTCACTGCAGCACCAACAAAGTACATGAAAAAATAGCTCTAATTAGATTTGAGTTTAAATTACGTAGTACATGGTTCGACACAGCACTATCTTATGTGATCCTCAAAATTGGCATGGAAAATAACATGATGGAAAAGGTACCTAAAAAAGTTACCAAAACGGAAAAGGTAAAGGGCGAAGGGAAAAGGTGCCTCCAAAAGTGAAAAGGTGCATACAAACATCAGCAACCATGTCACCTCTGCATTAGGAGTGGGGGGGGGGGGGGGGGGGCAGAATGTGTGCCGCCATTTATGGGTGCTTAAATGACGTCAGTAGGAGTCATCGTTTGTGGTTGTCGCAGCGGACTGCGTAAGCCATTTAGCCTTCAGTGCACTGGTGGAAGGTTGAACACGTGCGTCACTTGTCCATGTAACATGCCACGGGTATATGCTTATTTTGTAAACACCGCCTTGCAGTGAACTAAGTGTCCAAATAAGTAATGCTTCCCAAAGCCAAAATGCCCTTGGAGAATAGTCACTGTACTAACTGCACAAGGGAGTGATCAAAATTAATGCGTGACGTTTCATTGAAAGGTTTCCATATTTGTACGTAATGAACAGTGTGTTGAGCTCCCATGCCATTTAATTGCATGATATTAGTAATGGTATCGCAATGCATGCATGCATGCTATAAATGCATTTCGATGCTGCAAGACCTCCACTCCCCATAGAACTCCAAATTGTTTTCAATGAAGTAATTGAGCACACATTTAGTCTAATAAGTGTATCGCAAACATTTTATGACACACGCTGGAAAAGCAAAGAAAATAATAGACACAGTAGATTGGTTTTTAATTGGAAGTAAGTGAAGCGAAGAAAATGGTGCGCAGGAATGCTACGCTTCGCCCGTCGAGGCGGCAAGAAATTTTGAAATTTTCTTCGGGAAGAAATTTTAACCTACCGGAAAAGATTGGGAAAATATGCTTGCTTCAAGCAGAAAATAACATTTTCGAATTAGAAAACTTTCTCTGCATTAACAACCAAATGAGGCTCATTTCTTCCAACTTTTAATGATGTATTTTTGCCACTTATTTTAGGGATACATTTTTGCCGTCTCGTACCGACTAAAAGGTACGCCGCCGTTTTTATAGTACAAAATAGGCGGCATACGCTGTTCATGTAAACCCACGTTCAGCGAATTGGTTGCAGCAGATGCTACAGCAAAAGGAGGTCTGATCATGCTAAATTTTGACTGCTGAAACAACTTGACATGCCAAGGAATCGTCTTTGGTTTGGTGCTGTGTTGAAAACAAGGAATTGAAAAGTCGCGTGACCTCTGTGAAGTTGATAATATATGCTGGTAAAACGGGTACATTGTGCACAATTAAAATGCTCTAAATGCACTCTGCCGTGCGGCACATACTGTAGCCGTCAGGCTCCGGTGCGATAGCATATTTTTGACGAGCTAATGCGTTCTAAGTCGGTGAAGGCCATGACCCAACGTAACGTGCAACCGCTAGTTATTTATGCTCCTGTTGTTTTGCATACCATCGCAGTTTATACGACTTGCATGTTTCGCGGACTTCTTCCACTATTCTTGTTACTTGATCGTGTTTCTACGCAGTCCTTCCCTTCCACGATGGGCCCCGTTGCCATGGAAACGGTGCACAACACTGAGGAGCGACCTGTAGCATAACGGTCGTGCCGGCGAAGGTCCATGACATTCCAGCCCTGCCCCTCCCCTTCCATCGATCGCATGGTAAAGGTAGATCGCTTTGTGTCGTGGCCGTCCCGACTGACATGAAAAACAAGTTTTTGTGGGGTGGGAAGGTACTGGCATGTTGCTTAAAATCGTAACTTTTCATTCGTTTCCACTGTCGTTTTTTAACTTTTATGCTCGCTAATGCGATCTGTGGATTAAGTCACATTGTGTCCTGTGTACAAACCGTACTTTTTTCTTTTCCTCCTTTCTTTCTCCTCTTCTCTCTCTCTCTCTCTCTCTCTCTCTCTCTCTCTCCTCTCTATCTCTCTCTCCTCTCTCTCTCTCTCTCTCTCTCCTCTCTCTCTCTCTCTCCTCCTCCTCTCTCTCTCCTCTCCTCTCTCCTCTCTCTCTCTCTCTCTCTCTCTCTCTCCTCTCTCTCTCTCTCTCTCTCTCTCTCTCTCTCTCTCTCTCTTCTCTCTCTATCTCTCTCTCTCTCTCTCTCTCTCTCTCTCTCTCTCTCTCTCTCTTCTCTCTCTCTCTCTCTCCTTCTCCTCTCTCTCTCTCTATCTCTCTCCTCTCTCTCTCTCTCTCTCTCTCTCTCTCTCTCTCTCTCTCTCTCTCTTCTCTCTCTCTCTCTCTCTCTCTCTCTCTCTCTCTTCTCTCTATCTCTCTCTCTCTCTCTCTCTCTCTCTCTCTCTCTCTCTCTCTCCTCTCTCTCTTCTCTCTCTTTCTTTCACTCTCCCTTTCCCTCTCCCACTGGCTGTCTGGCGTGTTTTACAACCGCAGCTTCCTGTAATTTCATATTAACATTTTCACGTTGGGCGTCATTCAGCTACATACTTGTAACGCACCTGGAAGCCCAGGTGGAGTAAACAAAACCTTTACCGTTTTTTTTCTCTTGGATAACTTTGACTTGCATAGCTAGGGGCCCCTTTCTGATGATGGCAGATAGCACGATGGCGGATAGCCCGGTAAGGTAGCATACAAATTAAACCAAGCACTACACATAAGTTCTGCGCAAATACCGTGGCGTTGTTGCAGCTGGACTGATGGTCCAATGCTGATATCAGAAAGACGCTGAAGTGTTCAGCATGTCAGCCCTGGTCTACGACACTCCGGGCCATCCATTTCATTGGTTGATCACTGATCCTTAGGATCGATTCGGTCACCAGTCCGAAGACAGACAGTGTCTGACCCAGATTCGGAATCGGTCTCTGACCTCGGCACAAAGACGGGGTGGTCATTGACCTGCGTATCTTTTGACACTTACGGAAGACAGAGTAGATCACCGATACTGTTCGTCAGACATAGAGACCGACCCCGTCCTTATCTTGTCGATGACACGCGTGTAACCTGTTAATGACCCGCGGGTGACCTGTTAATGACCTTCGGGTGACCTGTTAGTGACCTGCGGGTGACCTGTTAATGACCTGTGTGCGACCTGCCAATGACCTGGAGGTGACCTGTTAATGACGTGCGGGTGACCTGTTAATGACCTGCGGGTGACCTGTTAATGACCTGCGGGCGACCTGTCGGGGACCTATCGGCATCCTGGCGTTGACCGCTCGGTGACCCCGGCCACGGGCCAGGCCAGGCCTGGCCGGCGCGGCGGGCCCACGCGTGCTTGCGTCATGCCGGTCCCGGTGGGCGATGGTCTGTGTTTGCGCCGATGTCCCGCCAGTGCCACGCCAATCGATGCCGCCGCTCGGGGCCGACCCGAGCGCGTGCCATTAAAATGGCGGCCGCGGGCGGGGTGAGGGAGGCCCGCCGCCCCACCCCCGCCCCGGGCGTGGACCGGGTCACGTGACGCTCCGTCACGGGAGGGAGGACCGCGTGCTGCCAGACGGCTCCATGGCCACGCCTCTCGCCGGTGCCCGGTGGGCGGCCAATGCTGACCGGGCCGATTGCGAGCACACCGATGACTCAGTCGCGATCGGACGCTGCCACGGAGGCGTCAGGCCGGCGTTTCAGTCGTCAACAAAGACCACTTATAATGCCGTCGTCACTAAATGCGCGAATATTTCTCTCGGTGGTTAAACTGGCGTTTTTGACGCACCATGAATCGGCTACCCGCCATGAGCTTTGATCACTCGGCACACCGATCGCTGTTGTGCCGGTTCAGTTGACATTTGGCGCGTCCCTAATCCAAAACCTTTCTGGTGCTGTTTGTATTGGCCGATCCCAGGATGACCCCGTGTCGTCCATGTGACGTTCATCTGCTGCCCCATTGTGGACACGAAGCCTGTGGACACGTTGCACCTGCTGCTCCGTTGTGGACACATAGCCTGTGGACACGTTGCACCTGCTGCTCCGGTGTAGACACGTCGCTTACACGGGCCGTTCGTCCTGTTGCAGTATGGATGGCCCAAACAGCCTGGAAGAAGCTGAGAAGACTCTGAACTTGCAGCTGCAACAGCTGGCAATGGTATGCAGTGAGTCGTCAGTCATCCGTTATTGATGGGCGTAACTCTGCCATGACGCTAGCAGTAATGAGTAACACCTGCTCGCCGCATTGTAAGGCGGTGACGCGCGCTACGATTTGCCAGCGTCGCGGTGATAATTTATGCTAGTCTAGCTATTTGATACCAAGATAGCATTCTCTGCGCGAAATTCGTTTCAACACAGAACTGTGTTCCTTTGAAAAACCGATTTGGAACGGGTTGTTGGCGCAGCTGCTAGATGTTCTGGCGTGTGTCGGCGCGACAATCCGGCGCCAGGCGAAGTCAAAAGTTTTTCATGGTACCGCCGTTGTCTTTGGCGGGCTATGTCATGACGGCTATTGACCATGAACCCAAGTTGCACATGTAAAGCGGTGGTGGCAAGTTTGTTTTGCGTGTTAAATCGGCCAGTTTTTCTCGTCCCTGGAGACTTAAGACTAGCCAGGCGAGGTATGAATCGATGTTCAGATTTTGCCCCGTCAGAAGGCCTCTGTTCTGGATTTGTTAAAGCATCGACATTTAGTTGCATGAGCATGGATTCATGTAACACTTTGTTAAAGGGACGCGTTCCTCCGGTGGCCCCCCCCCCCCGCATCCCACCCCTACCCCTTTGTATACGACCGCCAGGATGCCCCGGTGTGAGGAGACCCCATTTTGTCCAGGTCTCCTTTTAATCCTGCCCCCAACTCAGTCTATGGCGCTCTTGGTTGGACAATGCCCAAAACTCATCACCAGCATCCCTTAGCGATGACAGGCAATATTTAAAATTTTCCCTGGCTTTCGACTCATTTGCTACCCAGACCAAAACTCTAAACTATCGGCCGTCGTCCCTATGGCGTCTGCGTAGGCAATACGACCAATCAAAATGGTCGTTTTGTCAAATATGCATCGCGTGTTGTTGTCAGTCGTTTCCTAGTTGCTAAACATGAACAGATCTGTGCATGTGTATGCCAATATTCTACACAAGTTGTGTCTTTATGTGTAAAATGCGTGATAATGGCTTACACATACATTACAGTTACATTATGAGTTCGCCAGAGAGAGCATCCCATAAAAACATTGTCTAAGCCCCCCCCCCCCCCCAAATAATTGCCGGCTCTGCAATTCGCTGACCATATCTGGCGTTCATGGCAGTTGTTTGTGATGTTATCAAGTGAGTACGCCAGGGCTGCAAATGGCACAACCATGCATCAATATGGACCCATTAAAATGAGCATTGAAATCAAAATTAAATCTAACTCACTGACATGAGTAAGCACGGGAAGCCGTTGCCCGATATTTGCTGTCAGCATATCACGAAAATTTCATGCTTTCTGACTAAGTCCGGGGCCGTATTCGCCCACCTCGCTGATGATCGACGCAAAAGGTCAGCTCATGGTTGCGGCCAATTTCCCGTTCCTTTGGTCGCGGCTATAGCGAGCAGAGCTTGTTCATTAATGCTGCACTCGAATCAAAGTCTAGAGATCAAAGTCAAGAATCAAAATAGAATCAAAGGGAGGAAAGTCCAGGAAAAGCGTCAGGCTAAGTCTAGGGAAAGCGTCAGGCTGAGTCTAGGGAAAGCGTCAGGCTGAGTCTAGGGAAAGCGTCAGGCTGAGTCTGGGGAAAGCGTCGGGCTGAGTCTAGGGAAAGCGCCAGGCTGAGTCTAGGGAAAGCGCCAGGCTAGCTGGATCTGGCTGGATGTTTGCGTGTTTTTGCCAACATGTAAAAACAAACAAAAAACGGTCCCACCTGTTGGTCACCTGACCGGTGACCGAAGAGGGTCAGCCCGGCACGGGGCGGCCGGGGTATGGCACTGCACGGGTGCGGAAGACCCCTGCACGGACCCGTTCTGCAACAGGGCGGAGTCTGAATGTTTCGTTAAACTGGCATAGTGATGCCCAGTGATGCTGATGGACTTCAGCGCCATGGTGGGCGCAGTGTGCGAACAGCCAGCTCTGCTTGCGTGTGTGCTGAGCCTATGACAGCAAACCATGTCATACAAAGTCAATGACGCTTGGGAACTGACACATCCCGTCGCTGTTTTTCGCCGTTATCGCCTGCCTGCGTTTGCGGTCAACGTCCAAATAGCTGGCAGAACTACTGTGTTGTGCCACGTAGTCATACAACAAACCGGTCCGTCTTTTTCGCTGCATCACGACTTCCATGTGAGCGCATGTTAAGCGGCTGCTTCTATTCCAGGTGCGGAAATCGCTGGAGACTCTGAGTGGCATGGCGGCAAGCGGGCCGCAGGGCGACTCCGCCTAGCCGAGGGGCGCAGGGGGCGCCACGTGGCGGCGCCCTCCCTCACCGCCTCCACGGCGTCCGCCCTCGCTGCTTCGGAAGGCCCACACCTCAGTCGTAGCATTCTAGCCGGCGCTCGGCCTGTTTAGTCGTGGACGAGCGCTTGGTGCGTCGACATAGCTTTAACCGCGCCCCATGTTTTCGTCTGTGATGCCAGGCGACTTTCGCTGAAAGCTCAGCTTCCCGAGCGAAACACAGATGTCGCGCTGTGCTATAGCGTTGCCCACCGAGTCCTCGAGCGGTGGTGTTGTCCTGAGCTTGTTTAACGGTCGCTCGGTTGTGCGAGATGTGCACTAGAACCTTGTCATTGGGTGGAGAGTATTATGAGACAGAGTATTTTCGTGGATAGCGTGGGCGAATGTTATGATGTTACGTCAGAAGTCTATTGCGTGTTATTCGAACGGACCGTCGTGACCCGTGGGAGGCTTAGGGGGCATGTGCCATAGCATCGTACTGTGCACAGAGTACTTAACAATGTTTGGTCGTGGTGCAGGTTACGTCAGACCGCTGACGGGCGACAATCCAGCCACAGTATGTTTGACGTCGAGGAGTTTGCGCTGGCGGAAGTGGTGTCAAAGCCCCGAGCGCACGCTTTAGCGTGCACGGCCAATGCTAAAGTGACGCTCGCGGCTCCTCCGCAGAAACTTTTCTCTCTCGTGTCTCGTGTTCACGCTCATGGTCTCAGGCACCTCCGTCTCGGGAGAAGCCCCTCCAGTTCAGTCCTCGTGCCGCCCCGTCCGCTTCGCCTGGCCCGGAGCGTTCTCCCGCCTCCCTCGCTCGCAGACGCCGTTGGTCTTGTCTTTGTGCGGCCTTTGCGTCTCCGGTCAGCCCCCGCTGGGCCCGCGGGCCGGGATCGGCTTGGTCTGCGGCTGCTGGCTGGCCGGCGTCCCTAGACTGACCTGGGGTCATCGCTAGGTGGCCTCTGCCCGGCGCTGCGTCGTGCCTGGTGGGGTTGTTTCTGGTGCGAGCACGCCGTTGGCTGTTGTGGCACCGTCCGCGCCGCTAGGGGGAGTCGGGGATTGATTGACTCGGGGATTTGGGAGTCGGGGACACCCCGGGGCACAGGTCGGCTGTCCCCCGACGTCGGAGGAGAGGGGCGACTTGCGCCATTCCCTGCCACCTCTCTGTACAGCCTCTGACACAGCCGTGTAAATGCCAGCTGTCTGTGGGCGTGGAGACGTTTGGCTAGAGCCGCATGCTTTTACGCTGCCGCCGCGTGTACATGCTCCAGCATTGGCACAGTTGAGGACAATTGAGCCCGCGTCGGAGGTAACACGAGAAAGTCGTCTTCATTGCTGGGGACGTCAAATGCCTGCAGGGATGATTGAGCTGTTAGTTACACATCTGTGGACGTGCTTCTCCTCTCGTTCAAATGGCATAATGACCTGTTGTATGACTGGTAAAGTTGAACCAGAGGCGTCCAGCGGGCATACGCTATCCATGCCAATTTCATTTATCCGACTCGGAACAGTAACTCCGGTGCGGAGATCACGCGGCCCAGGTCCTGCCTTTTGGTCCTGAGAAGTTTCCAATGAATGGGATGAAACTCTAACCTGAGGAAAAGTAGGCACCAGCGTTAAAGTGCTGCGCTTTTAGGCTCCAGATGGCTTGCAGAATCTCCACCGATGAGTGCTGGGCTGCTGTCCCTACGGACAGGTGAGGGGGCCCGCACTGGAAGGTTTTCATTTATCCAATCCACCTTCTATCGGTGGGGTGCTTGCGATGACCACCCACGTCCTGTCCTGCCCTCTCGTTTATCATTTCACATGTTTTACCACCAGGTAATGGAACTGAAAGGGTACTTAGACATGTAGACTCATTGTTTTCACTTTGAGAATGCTCCTACATTCTCTAAACATTAACTTAACTCCAAAGCGTAAAATTCCAAAAAAGCTAAGCGTAACGTAAGTAAGCGGAATGAGCATATATTTTTGAAAGCCCTTCAAATGCCCTCGGCTGTAAGACATGGATAACATGTGCCTTTAATTTTCTTCAGTCCTATACCGGACCAATGGCTCGATGTCAGTACCCATGGGTGGGGGTTACCCTTCCCGTGAAGGTTTATTATAGAAAACTAAACGACATTACCTTCCATTCTGCGCCTCTCCACCAACCTCATTTCTACGCGCACGACTTTTGAATGCGGCAAAACACATTGCGTCGGGCGGGATATGATTGGTTGTTGGCTGCAGGATGCCGGAGAGACGTCCGAGATGTGAGCAATAACAAACACACGTCACATTGGGGCGCTGTCACAAATGCTGCGATCTCACTCCACCAGAGTCTGCCGAGGCGGCCACTCCCGTCACTAACTAATGAACGGGCCGGAGTTCGGCTACCCAGGCTGGCGTCATGACGAAAAAGCGCTGATGACGCTACATAGCGTTGCTCCAACTCGTGCTGCTGGGTTTACTGTCTACTTAAAGTGTTTAATGTGCATGTGTATTTGTGTTGATGGACGTATGCATGTTGATGAGCACTTTAAAACGGAAGCACCGGTTTATTTCCAGTGAGGGTTCCGTTTGGATTAATGTCGCCGATTCAGTGAGGCTTGTAAATGACTGTGATACATTTACCCAATCAATAAAGGCACCGAGTCAAAACATGTCTATGGAGCGCATGGTTTCACCAGAAACGGCTGCCACCTAGTAACATCTCTAACCAGCCACGGCTGTCGCGAGGAGTGGATGAAAGGAGCAAGCATCGTTAAACAAGATAAATATTATTGTTATTTCTGGCGTGGGGCTAGCAGGCGTGGTGTTGCGGACAAGTTCGTTCGCTTGATTTCCTGCTATTGTGTTTCATTTTTCTTGTGTGCCATCTCCGGCCATTTCTTTTGAGGACAGCACATGGCTACTCGCGTTCCATACGTGCAGGATTGGAGTCTCCATTTTTGAGGTTTTGAATTTCTAGCCTGCTTCCGACCCCCAATGTGGAGACGTGACGTGCTCAATCGAGGAACTTGGAATAAGTTGCCCAGACTCACAAAACTTTACTGTTCACGTTGGGAACAGGCCGACTCATAGGGATGTAACGAATATTATGTTATAAAAACGTGAATAATCAGAACTCACTTATAAGCAGGAAATAAAACGATTCACCTCACCTCATCTGAATAAAGGCTATAGGAACACTGCGCGGCAGTCTACGACCGGTGTGGATGGCAAGCGACGAATCCGCCAGTAACGGGCGTCAGGATGGCACTGCTGCATTTACGGGATGCGCAGTGACGTAGGCATGATTTCGCCCAAGAGGGGGCTAAGTCGGGTCATAACGGGCCCTTTCAGTTAAGGGACTCCTTCTGCACCGTTACAAATACACTATTTTGGATTCGAGAGACCTCTTTAGGCCCGAAATCGGATTGGATGCGTGGCCGACTTGCTTTGTTGTTTCAGAAGCCTGCAGGCGTCTTAAAGTGCTGAGAAGTATTCAGCCACACTGTCATGGGGCGCCTCGCCACCCTCTTGTTTTGCTGTTTGGGGCCCTGACCGCCAGTGTGGTCAGGGCCCCAAAAGCGTCGCCGATGCTTCTGCAGCCACGTCACAGAGAATTTCATCATATCTCTCATAATAAGCCCAATTTGCTCAAAGCACGCAAAATTACGCGTCAAGATACTCAAAATAAAGAGGAACACGCATAAGTTTCATACGGGTGCGTTGTACGATTTATATCCATCGGCATGTAAAACTGAAATTGTCTGATTTTTGGGAAAAGGTGGCATTCGATCTGGTCTAGTAGGTTAAGATCTGGGCCTAGCAAACACAAAACTTGTAATAAATCACATCTGGTTGACAACAACCTGCAAGGCTCTGCAGTTCTTAACGCTAACTGCCAGAGAAGGGGGGGGGGGGGGGAGGCGCTTCGGCATCCCTCCCTGTATTCGCGTCATGAAAAACGGGGCATCTGGAATCGTGTCGAGGTTCCGGATTCGAGGAACAATTCATCCATGTGGCAAATATGGACATGTGGCAAATGCTCTAAACCGCATCAATCGTGAAGTGGCAGTGATATGAACACAAATCAATGCTTGAACTGCAGTAGATGAGAAAGGGCTAGCTAGCACTATAGAGCTAAGAAAAAGGCACAATCACGTTGCATGTCAGCCAAAAGTGAAGGCACGGAATAAGTGAATGCAATAGCGAACAAAAGAAATGCACGCAGTTGGCAGCGCATTGAAGACGACACGCGGCAGGTGCCACACGACACAGATCGTACACCGCTTGCTACACTCCGCAGTCATGAGACAACACGCAGCAAAAAGCAGACAACGCAGCGGGCGCCACCAAACAGACGCTAAGTCACGGACGAAAAACAGTACACAGACCGACAGGCCGGCTGCTTGCCAAGATTTGTTACTGAGCGTGTTCTGGCGTTAATCAGCGCAGTCTGTTTGCCTGATAGGCTGCGCCGCACTGCGGTACTGCTGAGCGGTGCAGTCTAGCTCTGCAGTGATGCTGTCTCGGTGCAGTGCGCAGGAGACACCGGTGCGCTCGATAGTGAAAAGCCCCGCGCCGCGGAATGTGTACGACTTTCTGCAGACGCGGCTTTTTACAGACACGGCCTCCTGCGGGTTTCGACAGGCACGGCTGAATTGAGTGGCACAATGGGCAACCGGGGAAAAGGATGTTATGCGCTGAGACTCTTGCATGATCCCGGTCAGTAGTTTTAGATCTCTGCGCCCATTTCGCTTAGTTTATTTACTGTACACAACTCTGTGAGCAAAGGGCTAAACCGACTGTGGTTATAGTCTGTGAAGACCTTGATAAATCAGTGTATAATAGACTATGTTAATGTCGTTGACTCGGTGCGAGCCAAACGATGATAGCTTCGTTACACAGTTTTGGCGAAAGGCCATTGCCACATCTGATGCCAAACGCAACATCAATTTCTACAATCCAAAGTAATTCAAAAGCACACATAATGCCACGCATGACATGGCATACTCATAGGTGAAATTACAACACATTTCTTTGAAATGCTATTGACTTGAAACGACGAAGACATGTGATCCTTATTATGTTAAGCTCACCACCAGACATGGGGTCCTTTGCCATCAACGTTGCTCAGATATTCAGACCAGACGCATTTAATAATGCAAAATATGCATCCTGATGCTTTTGGTTACCCTGAATGCGGTCAAACAGTATACGAAACAAGATGTTACTGACGTCACTGGTGCTGACGGTAGATCTAATGCAGTCCGCCTTGCATCTACAGGCCACGGCTTTTAATCACGTCAGACGACAGTCTCTGCGAAGACAAGGGCACTCCCACGAACGGCATTAAATTCAAGCCAGT